GTGATCCGTATTATGTGGTTCGTATTCCGGGTTCAGTGCGTACTACTACTACCATTAATACAATCATTACAATGGCACACAGTTGTTCCCCGTTATTGTTCACTCTCATACGGTGGATTGTTTAAGGTTCAATCGTGAAATGGTCAACAGGACAACGTGCGTGTAGTGAGAGAGCGTTCGCTGAGCCCATGTTTTCGCTTGATTGATTCGATATTTTATTTGATTGCATTTTGCCTTTTGCTTTTTGTTCATGGTAGGGACCGAGATGGTGTAAGTACTTTTCATGCACACAGGTCAGTGCCTCATTCGAGAAAATGTGAATCTAGTAAATAACAAATAAATAATAAGTTTGAACAGAGAAGTCAGAAACATGGGTTTGTACAGTGTATCCACAATCATTTCGCTGATTCTGTACACGTGCAAACTGCAGTTTCTGACTTCTCTGTTCAAGTTAGTGAATAAAAGCTGTCTCTTTAATTCCCTTTTTATTTATTGAAGATGCAAATGTAAAATCAACTTCCGGAAAGGGTGTCGCGACCGGTGTCTGGGAAAATACGGAAGTGGGAAGATGGGTGACGATGCAGCGGTTCAAATCCGGGACTTTCGGGTCACAATTTTGATGACCACTTGACCTCTACCGCCCTGTTGATATAAAACATTGAAAGATTCCATAGTGTTACCAGAGTCAAACATATATACTGTACCGTTTTTTCCATGGGAAAACCATTTTGGATGAAATTTCGTAACACCTTTGAAAAAGCGCTCAAACGTACAACCTGCATGCGTTGTACCACATCTAATGGAATGACTGGATGAGATTTGGTAGTTTATCGTACGGACAATGGACGTGGTGAGATCAAATACTTGATGTTATTCGCTGATTGCTGTCAGCAAATAGATCAAAGTTTCAGATTTCATACCTCCCTTAAAGAAAACGATTATATAAAGATACGATAATTTATGGAATAGACACAGTAGAAATTGATGCATTCAACATAGAATTGCCGTTCAGAGATCGAACTTTGATCTTTGTGTTAAAGCATCTTCTTCGGCCTGTTGTGGCTACTCGGTTTTCACCTAATGAACAATGAGGGCCATTTTGTAGAGAAGCAAGGTGATTCTCCAAAGTATCCAGAAGAGGAGTACAGTGACCTGCATCTTTTCTCCATTTTTATTTGACACGCTGGAAAAATTATGAAATGAAAACTTTTTCCGTGATGAATTTGAAAAGAGAAGCTCAGTGTAGCGACATTGCACGGATTAAATCGGTGCATTTGCAAGCCTCGTGTATATCTGAGTTTAAATAATACTCAACCATGTAGAATTGTTTTTGTTTCCATTCCTGTACTTATTCGTTTGAAAAATAACTAGACTGACCTCATGATCAACCGTCTAGCTTGGCGCGTTGTTATGTCTTGCCGAACTATCACTCAGCCTGGTCTAACGATGTGTATCCCAACGATTCCAATAAAAAGACAGTTGGAAAACAGTGCGAGCCTGTACTGGTATCACCAGCCCAAATGTGGTCGTGGTTCATTAAGGAATAAAACATGTGGTATTTATGGTTTTGCTCATTGTCTAGACATGTGTCCGGAATGGGGAGTGGCGATGGAGGACTTGCTAGAAATCAGGTCATCGTATTCTGCACTTTTACTGTGACACCCACGTCTCCAGTACGGTCGAGAAAATGTCGACACGTTCACACGGTCGCGAGTGATCCCAATCCGGGTCTGATTCATGCGGTGAGAATATCTGGAGAAGGTTAGGCTTCTCCTGACACGCGTCTATAAACATTTCCGTGCGCAATCAAGCGTTGGGGTGAGTGAATCGCTCACCAGTACAGTTGTTTCAGATTCCATGAACTGTAATTATGCCCGAGCGTTATGATCCCTGTCTAAACTCATTCCCAAACTTTTATGGTGGAAGACAGTTTTTATGGACGTTTATACCCTTTGCCTTCCCAATCTCCCCTTGTGTGCGCATTAAAATACGTTCTGTGCGATTCATATTAATGCTTATGCCTTCACGATTAAGTCCACGTTTGGTTAGGGTGTTAAACAGATCTTTAATCTTTAAATTTTTATTCATTGTTTCCTCTTGCAATCAATTACGTTAATTGTGATACGCTAATTTAGTTTTAATCTCTGGAAACAAGATTGATTATCAATTTGTGGTTTACCTGTGTGCATTATGGGACTCTTGGATCACAGCTCGGCTCTTTGGTTAGCCTCGTTCGAATAGGTGTTTCCTATTACGGACTTGCGGGCTATTGGTCCTATTCACATTTTTTCTTGTACTGTTTGTGCAAATTCAGAGAGAGCAGAATCAATGAACCTCAATCTTTGATATTTCATTTAATCAGTACACGTTTTATTTGTTTGGGATGTGTGCTGTTTTTTGAGACTTCAAGGCTCGAACCGGGAACGTCCGGTCCCTTATTCGCCAGCTACGTGGTCGATCACAAACGCTTTTAATTAATTAAATGGTTTCTTGTTTCTGCTTAACAATTTGCAGATACCTTGGTCTGTGCAATGTGCTTTGCAAAGAAAGAAATATTTTTTTAGTGCTTGCTGTCGGTCACCATACACCCTCAATTAGGTATCACTCTCATAGCTGTACAGCATAACAAGAATGGTGCACTTGTCAGTAGTAAGTTACCAAATGCGACTAACTCTCATGTTTGCAATTCTTCTTTCTAGTCTTCTCGTTTATTAATGCATTGAATGATCGCGTGATCTTTGTCGTTTTCCCAATGTCCGGAGTTCTTTCAACTGTTTGACATACTATAAAGTTTGTCTAATCGTTCTGATCTCATTTCGATACTATTTATTAGCAAGCAACAATAAGATCCAAAAAGTGATCTTATGGTGGGAACTAGTTTTGCTCTTATTTCTTTACTCATCATGCGTAGTAGAAATAAATAGTTTTCTGGAAACAACATAGTATGAATTCCGATTATCATTGGTTATCATTATATCACATGCAGATTCTCGGTTTTTCGTTTTGCATGAGACTTCAAAAAATGATAGGAGGTCATCAGCTTCGTCTGAAAAATGGACGTCTGTTCGCATACCTTTGCCTGCAGATCACCGATCAGTCCGGTCCATTCACCGCGCAGAGAAAATTCCCCAAAATGACCGTCTCTAGCCGGATAAATTCGGTAACTTGTGGGACATAGAAAAAATAAATAACTTAGCAATAGATGAGCACAAACTTTGAAATAAAACAAAATTTGGGCAATCACTGACTTATCGAGTGGGCAAACTATAATTTTAACCACTGTTTGTTCCACTGGGTTAATGGCAGATCGCATTCAATGAAAAAGGCCAACCGGGTTGGCATCGGCTTACCGAAAATAGAATCGCTGAGCCAGAATATCCAACAAGTCTATCATCATTCCACGCGCTTTTGTTACATAACCATATGTAGATATTTCATAGTCCATAACAAAAGGTGGGATCTGGAAACCGTGAGAACATGAAAACATTGGATAACTATTTAGACAAAGGACAGAGCGTGATGAATGCTCTGCCTGAGGAGCTGAAAACGTTCTGATCTGAGAAATTTTGTGCCTCATTCCATTGAGTACAAATATGTGGTTTGCACACTAATGACCATCTACATATATTAATTTTTAATATTTTGCTTTTGGCATAAGATTGTTCAACTTAACAAATGGGCATAGTGATTTCCTGGACAGGTTTTTGAAAGAGCGTAAACAGTTGATGTCGATAAACAGGCTTTACTACGAGACAGAAACCAACAAGAAATCAGGCTAGTAATGTTTGAGTTCGACGGGAGGATGAGGATAGAATATGCATAAAGGAAACACAGGGTTCCAATGAGCTACGATCGTGATAACACAAGTGATCGCACCGGGGCACGTTTCTTGCACACTCTTGGTTTCTTGTTTGTAATATCGGTTACTACTAGCTCGTGTGAACTTTACTGTCACTAGTGTAACTAGTTATGACTAGTGTCGGTCTTCGTGGTTTTGCCGAATTTCAGTCTCCAGAAATCTATTTGCAAGCAAACCGTCTCCTGTTTGTTGCCTCTACTGCAGATATTTCACGCTTTCCTAGATAAATCCCTCTTTGCTGATATTCACACGCCTATTGGTTACTGAGCAAACTACTATTCTCATCCACTGATGCTCACCTCG